CCCGCTTTCATCCGCGCGTTAATCAGGGACCGCCTTTTATTTGTTGCTAAAAGAGGCACTTTTCCGTAATTAACAGCATAAACACAGGGACGTGAAAAGTACACGCCGCGCGGCCCGCCCCGCTCAGGGAGGGATAGAGGGGAGGGGGAGGAGAGGGATGGAGGGGAGGGGGACGGGCACTGGAAAACGAATGGCGCTGCCTGGCCAGGGCCTGGCCCCTGCGCAACGCGGAGTAGGCAACGCAGGCGCGGCAGCCCACGGCCAGGCGTGGCGGGCCGGCCTACCTCGGAGCTCGCAGGCGGCCCGCTTGCCTTGCTTACAGTGCGGTGCCAAAGCCAGAGCCAGAGCCAGCCAAAGCCAGGTCGGCCCCGGGTCGGCCGGGCGGGAGATTTGAATGCGGGAGGCGTCTAATTCGATGACACGCGATTGTCCGGCCGACAACGTTGCCGCGGGAGGAGAGAGAGAGTCTTGAGGGCGGCTTAAGAAAGCCAAACCAAAACCAGGACGACAAAAGGGGAGAAGCGTCCCCCCTCTCTCTGTCTCTGTCTGTCTGTCTGTCTGTCTGACTGTCTGTCTTTGTTTGTTTGTTTTTATTGTTTGTTATGACAGAAAGACAGTAAATCCACCCCTGACAAGCAGTCATGCTTAGGGGTTGTCTTTTTCTATTTTTAGGCAGTTTATTACTATGTTAATGTTTCTATCTGTAAGTGCCTTGTTTAAGTTTTTCTTAATAAATACGAATTGAATTGAATTGAATTGATTGAATTGTCTGTCTGTCTGTCTGTCTGTCTGTCTGTCTGTCTGTCTGTCTGTCTGACTGTCTGTCTGTCTGTCTGTCTGTCTGTCTGTCTGTCTCTCTCTCTCTTTCTCTCTCTCTCTCTCCGCCTCTAACGCGATACGACGACGACTGAGCATCCACAATGTGTGCGAGCGCGGCAAAGGCAGGCAGACGAGGGGGACCAAAAAAAGCAAAACCAAGCGAAAAAAGCGCAAAAAGGAGCAGCAGGCACAGTGATGAGTTTGGGCCGCGGGATGGAATTCATCAAGTTGATCATCGCTGCTCCGCTCCGACTTTCGACTTTGGTGTTCGCGCTCGCGTCACAAATATGACCGTGGAGAATAGATTAAAAACACGGCGGGCTGCCGCTCCTCTGTTCCTCTTTTGTCGAGGGCCGCTGCTCCGCTGCTCCGGCTCTGTCTCGTCACCAGCTGTTGTGGAATCCTCGCGCGACTGTCACGAAATGAGCAGCGGAGGACACTCCCCCGACCCCTCCCTCCCCCTCGGCACAACACCAACGGTTAACGCGACAAAACAGCGAAAATAGTTAACACAGTGTGCTCGGGCATCCTCGCCCACCGCGGAGCAAAGACACACCAGTGCGACGAATGCAAGGACACCGGCAGAAGAATCTCACTCAGTACGAAGGAACTTCGTTGCGATATGGGATTTGCCTTGAAGTCCCTCATCCCGGGACAAAAAGGGGACGAAGGTGGATCAATTCTGACACTTCTATTTTAGGTGGGACCAGCAACACGACACCCGGTGTCTTGGCTCCAGACACTCTTTGATCTGTGATATGTTCAAGGAAGGACTAGAATCACAGAAGGGCGCAAAACTGGGTTGCCCTCGGAACTATCTGGTACTATCATGTGTTTGATTCGGGCCCTGTGTTAGCACACGAGACGCCCAGATGTGTCAACAGATTTCCACCCGAACGGGCCACGCAGTGGGAATGGGTAAAAATTAAAACCACGAGCAAGTAAAAACAGCGTCAATATTTAAAACATTTTCCCAGACATTGCAGAATTTTTTTCACGTTTCACGGCAAACTTGCGTCATGTTGACGTACGGGAAACACACCCTCGCTCGGGCACGACAGCTCGCCTGAGAGCGACGAAGACAGCAGGACAGCGTACAGTGTCACGGCGCGGCGAGCGTGAACTGCCGATAGTGATCGGCGCTCGGCTCGCCAGCCAATCAGCATCGCGCTTTGTCTTGCCCGCAATCACGCCGCACGCGTGGGCCACACGTGGGCCCCGCCATGCCACGCCACGCCACGCCACGCCACGCATGGGCCCATTGTGCAAGGAGGAGGATCAGCATGCTGATGCAGGGCCGGCAGGGTTCAAATTTCCGCATTACCAACCCACGAACAGGAAAAGAGAGAAAAAGGAAGACCCAGGTGGCTTAGCGGGGTGCAGACTTGCGCGCACCTGTGAAATTAGCGCCACTGTGAAATAAATACACCCTGTGAACTTAATGCACCTAGAAAATTATTGCACCTGTAAAATAAGTGCACCTGTGAAATAAGTGCACGTGAACTTAGTGCACCTGCAAAATTAATGCACAGCACATGTGAAATAAGTGCACCTAGTGTGAACTTAGTGCACCAGCAAAATTAGTGCACCAGCAAAATTAGTGCACCTGTAAAATAAGTGCACCTATGAAAAAAGGACACCCGCGAACTTAGTGCCCCTGTGACATTAGTGCAACAACAAACCGAAGGAGGCCTACCCCGGTCCCTCCCGGGGACGTGGCGTAAATTTTTCATACCGCCTTTTGGCTGTCGGCGTTGGCAGCACTGCTAAACGGCCCGCGATGGATGCGGATGATGGAAAAAGTTGAAAGGGAGTCGAGCGGGCCCTGCTGCTGCCGCGGGGCCCCGCTGGGGGCTGCTGGCGCTAGCGCTGCGGGCCCGGGGAAAGGGCGGGTTGTGTGGGCCGGCCTCGAAACCGCACAACATCGAATGAAAGGCCAAAGCCTGCCCCGAGCGAAAAGCGCCCACAAATGAAATAGCTGTGCGACGCTAAGAGAGAGAAAACGTGTCTCCATTGTGATCATCGCCGTGGGGGCGTGGAGGGGAGGGCCTCTCTCTCTCTCTCTCTCTCTCTCTCTCTCTCCCCCTCCAGGCGCCGCCCCCACAGCCCTGGTAATGCGGTAACCGCAGACTGAGGCTGGAATATCCAATCGCTGGCCGCAGAACAAAAGAGCCATCCCTACCGCACGGCTCCTTGCCCGGGCGGGCGGGCGGGCGGGCGAACGGACGGACGGACAGAGACAGACAGACAGACAGACAGACAGACAGACAGACAGACAGACAGACAGACAGACAGACAGACAGACAGGACGAAAGCTCAACCCCTTCTGGAATCTCATCGGCGGCGTCCGGGCTGGCGTCCGGGCCGGAGTCGCTTCCCGGAGTCCGGAGGCAGCCCCAAGTGAATCAGCCCGCCGGGATGGGATTCCAGATTAATCTCGGAATAACGGCGAGCCAGTGGCGTGGCCATGGCCCGGCCTGCGGTAGCCTGCGGTGCCCCCGCCTCAGTCTGTCTCTCTCGCTCGCACCCTTCCGGGATGCCCCGTGAGTGCGAGAGAGACAGAGCGACGGAGCGATCCTTCGGTAGTCGGTCGGCTTCGGCTGCGGTGCCTGCGGTATGGGGCGAAGCGCGAAGCGAACCCGTTCCAGCTCCAGCAGATCCAGCCAGTCGGAAGCACAGCCACCTGCCCTGCCGCCGCCAGCGACTCTAGCCGCGGCCAGCCGTCCCCCGGCCTCCGAGAGGCAAACTACCGAGGGGGCAACCACTCTAGAAATCTTGCGTCCCCTTGACGCTAGAAATCTCTGGGAAATCTGAAATCTTGCCCCCTTAAAGGCCAAAACCAAGCTAATTTTGGGCGGAATATCCGTTAAAATCTTGCGAAATCCGATGAAATCTTAAGCCGTAAGAAATCTTGTGTCCCCAAACATCCAATGCGGTTGCCCCCTCGCAGACTACGGTGCTCCCGACCGGCATCCGTCGACCAAAACGCTGCCAATACAAAAATTATCATCACCTGGCATGTGCACGCTTAAAACCTTACGAAGCATTTTGAGCAGACATGATACAAACTAATTTACTTTGTTATACGAAGAAATAGTCCGTAAATTACGAAGTATTTTCTTTGTAAGCTCATGTCACCGCTCAAACTGGCCTCGCGCGCGGACGAGGTTCCGCGAGTCGCCGCGAGATGGCGCTGCGCGCGCCGAGCCGCCGCACGCTCGCGGTGGCGACCTAGGTTAGCGTTGTAACTAGTTTGAAAGCAAGTTTCTTGTCCATGTGCAGCAGTTCTCGAAACGTACTCACCACTGGAAGATACCAAGGCGGGGGAGCCGAGCACTGTCAACGGCATTTCGTCTGGCCGCGGAGAGTGCCCTCACGGCTGTACCCCTCGGAGGGCGAGCGCCTGCAACGGCCGTTCCCTCCAATGGCGTAGCGCCTCACTGGCTGCTCCCCCGGTCGGCTTTGTGCTTTCGCCGCCGACAACGACTTCGACGGCGACATCGGGATCCTGGGCACTTCAACTCGGCGACCGTGCCGACGGTTACGCAGTCACACTTATGTGTGCTCAAAATACATTGTTTTAACAAACTCTTTTTCCTTGTAAGGCCCAAAATAGTTTGTAAGGTTTTCTCAGTGTATGCTCAAATACTTTGTTATAACAAGCTGCTTTTCTTTGTAAGGCCTAAAATAGTTTGTCAGGTTTACTCAGTGTGTGCTTCCCCCCGCGGGCCGCCTGTGAATCTCTGGGTAGGCAACCCGCTCCACTCGTCCGTCGTACGTCGCCTTGGTGCCTACCTGGAAGGGCGCTTGCGTCAAGCGAGGCGCACTCACTGTAAGTGGGCGTGGGTGAGTCGCACCACGGGCCGCCATGGCCAGTCGTCTAATCGTGGGCTGATAATTACTGCCTTGTCCTTCAGGTGCCCTTCTCAGCTCTTCTCAGCCAGCCCGCTGCAGGTGGATGCCCCCCCCCCCTCTCTCTCTCTCTCACTCCCACTCGCGGCCCGCCCGGCCCTGGCCCCGCCCCCGGGGTGCGGAGCGCGGCCCGCGGTTGGCCGTGGCGGGGTGGTGGGCGTGGCTTGCGGGGTGCTGGGTGGCGGCGGGCCTGGCGGCGAGCTTGGCGGCGCCAGGGATGCTGCAGCGGACCACTCGTGCGCCGAGCCTCGGCAGAGCAACCGCCACGCGCGTGCTGCACACACGGCCTCGTCCAGGACCCCGTCGACCTCGCCGTCGTCCTCGCCGTCGTCCTCGCCATGGCCGGGCCCTTCCTGTCGCCGCTCCCCCAGGACCTGCTCTCGGAGTACATGTTCGGCCGGAGGAGGCAGGTAAGGTGCTGGCGAGCGGGGCGGCAGCGCGCCTGTGCGGTAGGCAATGCGAGCGCGCGGCTGTGCGGCGGGCTGGCCTACCCTGAGCTGCTCGGGCGCTGACGGCGGCCTCGCGAGTATCTCGCGAACGGCGAGTCCCCTGCTCGCTGCGAAATATGCTAAATCGGCTACGCCACCCTGGTAGCCAACGAATGTGACGTCATATTCGTTCGAATGTGAATTTTGTCACGTTCGTTTGAATATGATGTCACATTCGTTTGAATGTTGATCCACGTTCAAACGAATGTGACACCCTTCTTAAATGGCCGAGTCACGCTGAAACGAATATGACATCATATTCAAAAGAACGTGACAAAATTAACACTCCAACGAATGTGACGTCACATTCGTTGGCTACCAGTGCACTCAGGCGTTCACGGGAGAACGCAGCCCTAGAGTAATAGACTGTCTGACCCCACAGCGACGAAACCGGACCACGTTCTCGCCGCAGCAGCTCAAGGAGCTCGAGTCCCTGTTCCTCAAGACGCACTACCCGGACGTGTTCCTGCGCGAGCAGGCCGCCGTCCGCATCGGCCTGAGCGAGGCCCGCGTGCAGGTCAGTCGCCCTCCCTCCACCAGCGAGCACGCACAGTGGACCAGAAGCCCGGTGGCGGCGGCCAAAATTCCAGACGCGTTTTGAGCTCCAGAGTCGCAAAATGGGGCTCGAATAGAGCGTGTGACCCCATCAACGGATGCCCCGTTCGGAGAGAGATCCATTGGTGAGGTCACACGTTCGAGACCCATTTAGCGACTCTGGAGCTCAAACCGCGTCTGGAATTTTGTCCGCCTCCACCGGTTCTCTGGCCCACTGTGGCACGCCGTCATGCCAGCGTCGAAAGGCTTGGGAACCTAAGCCCGACTACCGGATGACTTCTCGAGAGACGTTGCGTCCGAGACAGGTTGAGGTTGGCAACCCTTTCGGCACTGGTGCGTCGCGGTGCGTCGTCTACTTACTTGGCAGCACCGGTGAGTTGCGGGAGTCGGAGCTAACGGTGTGGTGGTGTGCAGGTGTGGTTCCAGAACCGGCGGGCCAAGTGGCGCAAGCAGGCGCGGCTGCAGCTGGTGCAGGACGCGTGGAGGATGCGCTGCCTCGCCCTGGGCGGCCCGGCGCCGCTCGCGCTGCAGGACCTGCAGGTGCACGGTAAGTGGTCGCCGACACGTCGCCGACGTGGCACAGTGGGCCAGAAGACCGGTAGAGGCGGCCAAAACTCTGGACGCGTTTTGAGCTCCAGAGTCGATAACCAGGACTCGAACGGAACGGGTGACCCCACCAACTGATTCCTTGTTCGGAGAGCAATCCATTGGTGGGGTCACACGTTCGGTTAGAGTCCCATTTAGCGACTTTGGAACTCAAAGCGCGTCCGGGATTTTGGCCGCCCCCACCCGGTCTTCTGACCCACTGTGCGACGCCGTCCTCGAGTGCCTCGTGGGCAGCGTGTCTCAGAGATGCGGTTCCGTTCCGTTGGCAGGCGGCGAGCAGATGTCCCCGCTGGGGCTCAAGGCGGGCCCCGGTGACGGCGACCCCGGCGGCGCGGCGGCGGCCGGCAGCCCCACCAGCAGCGCGGACAGTGGGCCGCCCAGCCCGCCCAGCCCGGGGCCCAGCCCCAGCCTCGCGGCAGGCAGCCCGCCCGGCAGCCCGCGCCGCACCCAGCCACCCCCGCTACCCGCGCCCTTCCGCGGCCCGCACAGGTACGTGTATGTATGCAACAATTCACTAGTCACTTTCCCCTTGCTGTTTTGCCAAAAAAATATCAAATTGTTTGTTTTTATTTTTAAAAAATACGCCCGCCCGCTGCCCTTTTCCACTCCGCCCCGCCTGCCTGCCTGCCCCCGCGGCTCGCCAAAGGGAAAATTACTTAGCGCCCATCTGCATTGTCCGATTGTTCCAGTGCCCTGGCGCTGTGCGGCAAAAACGTCAACAACAACAATAACAACAAGCAGCAGCACCACGACAACAACAACACGGCGGGGTCCGAGCCGCAGCAGGAGAAGCAGCAGCAGCAGGCGCACAATGAGGCGCTGCCCTGCAGCCTCCCCGGCCTGCCCATTGTCCCGCCGCCGCCACTGCCGCCGCCCGCGCATCTCATCCAGAGCCACGCGGCGCACGCGGCGCACGCACCGCACGCGCACTGGGCCGTGGCGGACGACTGCGTGCTCAACCTGCAAGTGCGGAGAAAAGACATGTAGCGCTCCCGTGCGCTTCCCTCGTCTGTCTCTCTCGCACCCTCCCGGACCGGCCCGTGAGTCGGAGTGGGACAGAGCGACGAAGGCGCGGGACTTCCCCCCCCTCAAGGCCGTGCGCGCGCTTCGGTAGCCTTAGTCAGTCAAGTTGACACGCTCGGTGACGTTTACGTTTCGTTCCTGTGATTAGCTAGTGGAGGCGAAGAGCCGTTTGTAAGCAGTCACTCGGTTTTGTTAATAGAAAAAGCAAGTCATTGAAAAAAAAAAAAAAAAAAAAAAAAGATTGAGTATCAGCAGTACTTTAAAAATATTAGCTATGTATTTTGTTGCCAGAGAGCGCGATTCTCTAGAAAACCGATAGCATCAGTAATTTAAGTTGAATTTTGTTGTTAAACATTGTGTTAAATTTAATTAAAGTAGAGGTATTTCAAGTAGCCGTTTCTTTTCAACCTTCTGTGATCTTTTAGGAAAAATGTGCCTATTAGACTCAGGCAGACAGCATGCTAGTTGTGCTTGCTATAAGTTGTGGTGTAAGATGTTTTTTTAAAAAGTACGATACAAGGGTATGGTATGTAATTATAGAGCATATTTAACCAGTTCATAACTAAAAAAATGTATTAAAAAGCAAATATTTAACATATTTTAGTTGTTTCTCCAGAGATAGAAATTTCTGCAGAAAAATGTGGCACCTGACACACAGTGGTGTGAATACAACCATTTATCAAAAGTAGCTCTCTTCTTGTTTCCAGACAATAATTCCTAATAAACCATCTCTTACTGTTATTCAAGGCAAACTATAACATCAATCATGTTCAAATCACTTAATTTTTAACACAACTGACATTGCATACTTTCAAAAAAATAAATTGCCTGGCCTTTTTAAGTTTCACTTTCAAGTTTTAACACAAAGACGACTGATTTGATCATGAGGTACCCTCAAGGAACTTCCACAGTCTTATTTCTCCATCATCACTGCATGACGCTAATAATCCTGCCACAGTAGGATGCCATGCGACACAATTAACATCTTGCTTGTGCCCATTGGTTGATGATGAGGCTACAAGGTCGAAGTTGGGTTGATTTGGATCTGAATCTAGCGATTCCTAGGAAAAAGAGGGGGGCATAAAATAAATATTTTCATGTTTAGTGCTGAAATAATTTGCAACATATTTACCTGAAATATTCTCACGACATCATCAGCACTAGCAGTGGCGATGAGCCCTGTCTGATGACACCAGGCCACATCATAGACACATCGTGAATGCATTCCGGCAATTGTGCTGACACATTTCCACACAGGTGTTCCATCAGGTGTGGCTATACCCTCTTGATTTCCAGGTAAATAAACTTGCCAGATTTTTACAGTTCCATCATCACTACAGGAAGCTAGTCTCGTACCTAAAATTAAAAATATACACAAAATAGTCGACTAAAATTAACAAGGTTTGAAAAAGTGACACCCTAAATATGAAGTACAGACCAGTTTTATTGAAAGCTATGCTCCAAACAGTAGAAGTATGAGATGACAAGGTTGCTACACAAGTCCACTCTTGATCAGCAGGGTCCTCACGGAACATTTTAATGGTATTATCGTAAGAAGCAGATGCTAGAAGTTCGTCATTTGGATGCCAGATCACCTTCTTAACATCTTGGGTGTGGGCGTTAAGGACAGCGGCACATTCATACTCATCCTCTTCTGCAACCTCCCACACCCACACAGTTTTGTCCCTACTACATGTGGCCATCAACTGGCCAGACTTGGCCCATGACACTGATTTAACCTAGAGCAGACAGTAAAAAGTTTTGAAAATGTGGAGCAAAGTTTAGGGAAAATTCATGCACCAAAAGCATAAACTGAGCGATTACCTCATTTTCATGACCTTCAAGAGTGGCGTTACATTCAAACTGTCCAGACTTCTTATCCCATATGGCTGTAGTAGCATCAAAGCTTGCAGACGCTAAATAATTTCCACATGGAGACCAGGTTACCTGTTATGTAAAATAAATATAACAAGGAACAAATGGCACAATGCAATCAGAACGAAATCTGTACTCACCTCTCTGATGGTGCGTTCATGACCATCTGTTAAGGAAGTTTTTACAACCCACTTTCCTTCTACACCGCCTTCGGTTCCCCAAATACGAATGATTTTATCTTCCCCACAGGAAGTTAGAAGGTTCCCTTCTGGATGCCAGGATATGTTCCATACCCTGCCCCTGTGCCCAGTCAGGACCTGCACCAATTTAAGAGTTGGCATGGCAGGATCTGAAAAATAATGACAACTTTGAACACGTGTATCTTAAATAGCAGTACATCAAGACTATCAATTTGAAATATAATGACGCAAAACTGAGGGCTTCGTTGCGCGCATAAATACAAAATACAATGACAATAGCAGATAAACAGGGAACTTAACCTCTCTGAAAGGTAATCGCTTTCATTGGAAACTTACTTTCTGAAGACATTTATAGAAATTGGAATGATGTAAACAGATAAGGGAGGGTGAGCTATTCCCAGAGTCTAAAATATTTGTGTAGAGGCAGTAATGTCAGAAGAATGAATCTAAAACCGCTTGAGACGGCCATTCAATTCAAACAAGCAGACAGACTGTCAGCGCCTTGTCCAAGCACAATAACGTTCCGCTCATCCAAGAGGGGGGCGTCTCCTCGTTTCCTAGAAGCGCACGGCGTAAAATGGCGCCGCTCGAAACCCAAACAAACGAGAATTTTGAAAATGGCTTTGGTTTGTTGAAAGTCTGGCTCAGATGGGTCATTTCAAGTTATTTCGTGCTGTAGTGACATTCCCGTAGGAGGATTAATCAAGTTTTAGTTCCGGAATCGACTGATCAATGAAAATTAGGTGAGATCAACTTATTATCGCTCCATAAAAGGGACCTTGTCTCCTGCTGTCAGTTAGGACGACAGTTAGAGCTTTCGAAAGAAATGTCGATGTTGACAGTCGTCGCTCTTTTCCATATGATTTTGTTACATCAGTTAAAGCCTCGTCCGAAAGCAGGCTGATTGACACTCATTTATTTGAAATGCGTGTGAAAGTTTGGTTTGTCCTAGTTATTCTTTCAAGTGTGGCAAGGAGGTTATCTCTGTTTCTATCTGATTTCTATCGTCGCTTGATAAAGACTCTTGTTCAGTATCTATCTTTCTGACTGAATTTGAAGTCCTTGTGGTTGTTCTAAAAATATTGCACCCATGTAGTTCGTAACGAATCTTTACATTTCAGAGACTATGGCAGGAAGTCCAGAGTTATTGAAAAACGCATTAGAAGATTGGCTGGAGCAAAATTTTCCAAGAGGATACACATCTTGCATCAAGATCCAAGGTCGACCGATTCTTCCTCCATTGGTATGATTTATGCAATTAATTTACTCTTTGCTTAATTTATCCTGCAGTACTTTGGTGACATTGTTCTTGGTTGCTTCAGATGTCGGAGGAGCGTAGGATTGAAATGCGACGACTGAGAGACATTGCTGTTGAAGTTGAAAGCCGACTATTGCAAAAGAAAGTTAACATTCAGGACGATGCTGCCGGTGGTGAAGCTATGTATGAAGGGGCTGCAGATGAACTGCATTTTGCTAACTCTTTGCCAACTTCTTTGGCTGCTTACCAAGAAGAACCAACTCAGCCATTAACAAATGAAGAAATTTCTCAAACACTGGAAGATGCTCTAGAACTAATTCAAGCACAAAGCAGGCCAGGCACAGCTCAGTCCAAAGACATGCTGAAAGAATTTGATCCTCTTGCTGAAGGAAACAGTGCCCACTCACCTGTAGACCTTTCAGTCTTACACTCGGAAAATATTTCTGAGCGGAATGTTAAATCTTCTGACAAAACTCTGTCAAAACCAAGCAGTACAGAGAGCTCAATTGCTTTGTCATACAGCACAGATCTTAATAATTACATGGATATTACTGAGGGCAGTGTTGACATATCTGTACTTTGTTCAGATCAGAAGTCTGTCTGTGAAACTGGAGCTACAACACCGAGCACAGTAAGGCCAGACTCTGCTGGTAGTAAGTCCCTGTCAAGTGTGCCTTCTAAAGATAGAAAAGCAACATTTGAAGACCTGAATAATTATTTAGACAGCCTGTTAAATAATAACAGTGATTCAAAGAAGCAAAAAGCTATAAAGGACAGTAACCAGAATGTAGTCAATAGCTCAACTTCATCTCAGAGCAGCCAGAGAACTATTTCTCCACCTATCTATTCAGAGGTCTTACCATTCAATGGCAAGCCACCACCATTGACCAGTCCACAGGGTAGTCTTCAAACAAGGATTACGAACGATGGGAACTACCTGACTGCACCAAGCCAGAGAAATGTAGACCAGATTGAAAATGTCTCGAATTTTCTTCAAAGTTGTACCCTATCACCAGTGAGACAAAGTGATGTACAAAATTCATATGAACAAAAGGTGCAGTTATATTTGCAGAACTTAGTGATTGATGAAAAAGTTATGAAAGAACTCACACAGATGGCATCTTCTCAACTTGACAACCTTCCTCAGAGTATGGATAAAAATTTGTCAGAAACATGCTCTTCCAAAAATTTAGTGAATGAGAATCCTTTGCAGAGAAATACAGAGGCAAACTGCAATGGGTATGTGCCTGCTCCTCCAAGATTAGTTCGAAGTAATTCTTATACCTTGGACTCTCCCAGTCCTATGCTGCTAGCCCACATGGAAGCTGAATTAAGAAAAAATGTTCGCAATGAACCCAATATGAGTTCCAGTACTAATCCATCACAGGATGTGGGACCTTCCCGGAGAGTTTGGGATGTCGAGTCTAACAAAAACATGCCAAGCTGGTGCAGCAGACCCAGTAATGTGTCCAATGCTGCTTCTAAAACTCTATCACCCAAGAAAGTTTTGAATAGAAGTACTTCTGCACAGCCAACTGCTGTAAAAAATTCAGAGCACAGAGGGCTTCCTTCTGAATCCCCTCAAAGACTGTTGAAGGACAAGGTTCCTGCCAAGTATTCTACAGATCAGTCCAGATTCCGTAAATCATCTCTTGGATCTCTTCAAAAGGACAGTATGGGGAAAGCTTCACAAGAAGGTTCACCGCCTAGTAGTGATGACTCGAAAGATAAAGCTCGCACTTTATTGCTACACTTACAACTGCAGCACAATCAAGAAATGGAGGAGCTGTTGAATCGCCAGCGTAAGGAAAAAGAGGCCATCAGATTGGCACTTTTAGAAGAGCAAAAATCTGCATTCAGGGCATCAGAAGAGGCCCTTGAATCTTGCCTTTCCAGGACTTCCACAAATTCACACACCAGTGCACAGGGTCAGTCTCCCCCCACAAAAGACAAAGCACTTCAAATGGAGCGGAGGAATACATCGCAATCAGTCTTCAAAAGGGATGGCTCAAAGCCGTTGCCAAGTGGCCAGGTGGAATATAATAAGAGCTCATCTATATCACTTGATCCAGTCACTTCTTCTATAGATTTAGGTGGTGGTTCATCTTTGATAGATTTAGGACAAGATGAAAGAGCACTTGATAATATCAAAGTGATACCCCAAAAAGAAGTTTATGGAAATGCTCAGAGAACCAATCTAATGAGTGGAGCAGGCCCTGGTGAAAACCTGCCATTACAACTAGGCAGCTATAACGGTTCGTCAGAGATGATATCAAGTTTTCCTCCCAGCGATTTGCCAAGTGGTCAAATGGAAAGAATGACATCCAGTCTACCTCCTGAAATTCTCTCTCTGCACTTTTCCAACACTGAGCTGACCTTCCAAAATGCCAACTCTGTGTCGTGTACAACTCAGTCCTCCGTAATATCCATCAGCAAGCCTACATCCGTTTCTGCAGATACCACATCGGTTGCTCCGAACATTTTCTCTTCTGCTTTCGCTTCATGTATGACTGGAGGCAGCCCTCGGACCAAGCGCCGTTCGTGGTGCAGTCGCCAGCTCTTTCCTGATGAGTACTCCCAAAGTCATCCAGACTGGGTAACTCAAACTTACGAACTTCAGAAGGTAAAATAAATGTGGTTCCTAAATGAATAGTGTGTGAACTATCATCAATTTTTACTAATTCTTTTTTCTTATTATAGCATCAAGCAGCAAGCAAAATTCAAGCAGGAGTCCGTGGTTATTTGACAAGAAGGTTACTCAAAACTGAGAGGGTGCAAAATTGTATCACCACAATACGAGACACGATTGTATGTGCATTACAACTTCAAAGAGAGTGTGCACCTCATGTAGAACCTAGTGACCTTCAACTGCATGGGAGACTGATACAACAGGTATACCCCGAGGTTACAGTTGATATATTATTTTCCCAGTCTTTTTACTAACATTTTATATCATTGTAACTTTTTATTCCCATCCACAGCTCAGTGCTGCTTGTGAAGATCTGCACCACATCTTTATGGGTCTTCCTGTGAAACGGCGAATGGCAATTATAGCTGCTGATAGAGAGAGATTGCGGATACGCACTCCAAGATCTCAAAGTAGTTTGGGCTCAAGACCTTTGTCTCGAGCAACTCAGATAGCTCTCCAGAGGAAATTCAACCTGTTAGTTCATTGCTCTTCTTCTATTTCTACATACCCTACAGCCTCTTTATTACTCAATTACTTCTCTCTTTCAGAGGTGATCCTTCAGACAGTGCCAGTGTGCATTCCAGATCTTCATCAGCCAATAGGTCTAGGCGTCGAAGTTGGGCAGTTGAATCTCATATGAAAGCATCACCCATGCCTACAAACATTGGTAGGTAAATCACCTATTTCATTTCGCTGTGTCATGATGTGTCTGTTTTTAATCTTGTGTTCTGGTTTTGCGCAGCCAACAACTGTGAGGTTGTTTCGGGTTGTCTCTCTAGGTCTTCAGCGCCAATGTCTTTACCACTGCAGAGATCAGCCAGTGCAGGAAGCAGTAGGAAACCATGGCGATAGGTTTACCTTGTCAGGTTGTTCAGATAGTAGGTGAGTCGATTAAAAGAAAAAGGTTCAAATTTGAACTAATAACAACATTAAATTTGTTCAAGAGCTCTCTGACGCCTTCCAAAAATTGCTTCTCCATGAAGTTGTGATAGATGGTTTTAGAAATATGATTTGTTTATGAGTAAGTGTACTTAAAAATTTTGTACCCATATATTTTTCTGATTTTTCTTTTGTGTTTGCTTTTTGTACATACATTTTAATTCTGTTAATGCTAAGATTCATTTGGGTCTTTGCAAGTTAAACATCACAGATGTTGGAAAAAGTTATATTTCATCTGATATTTTTTCATCACAAATTTTATGTCCCATCCTTTTTTTTCCCATCTATTTAAAGCAAAGCAGTATCATTAATTGCAAGTTTTTTTTTCTTCTATCTCTCTGTATTTTCCAAATGTGATCTTGTATAAAACCAGTGATCCCTTTTTATGTCAAATAATTATATGACTTGAGTGGTCTTCTGGAATCTTTCCCTATTACATGTGTGTGTCCCACGTATGCACAAGTGTGATGGATCTCTCAATGTTTCATTATGATAAAGTTTAATTTTAGATTTTTGCCTTTAATGTTAAAATGTGTGCACAGTTACCTGAAGCTTTTGTTGAGGTCTTCTTTGAAATTCTATCCTTGTAAGAATCTGTAATTTTCTGCAGTCAGGCATATTTGTGTACAGTATCTGTTATTTGCTACTTTTAAAAATGTTTTTAGGACATTTCCTTTTTTTTTCATGATTATTTTTATTTTTTCATCAGATGATTTGAAATGTTTTTTCTTGCCTCACTTGTCTTATCTGCCATGATTGTGTATTCTTTGTCATGTTGTAAATTAACTTGTCACTGCAACACTCTAATCTAATTTGCTTGTACTGAGTTCATTCTGGCTAAAAGTAACTATTTTGTGAAATTTTTAGATAGTGTTGCCAACACCGTGCCTTATCTCAAGATTAAGTGTCTTATGTTGTTTAAGAAAAACAATGAATTTCAAGAGATGGAATCGACTTGTGATGCTAAGAAGTAAAATTCAGAAGCGTTTTGGAATGTGCGCCTTTCATTTCTGTATTGCATGCTTTACTCTTTAGTTCCGCTGTAGCCAAATTTATGTTGAACCGCACATGCTTTCAGGTTTCTAAGTTGAAGTGCCTTAGTCATAGGTAGGTCTTGAGACGGTGGAGTCAATTGAATGTACTTTTACGTCCATGGTGCTGATGTCATTGAGCATTATTTTTCATAGAGCTATATTCTACAGTCAATGAGGCCATTTGCCCCCTCATTCTTGGATTTTGCACAGAAAATAAAAAGTGTATCATGTATCAGACTTTGTTGTTTCTGTAGCGTCGCTACGTCTGCAAGCTGCCCTTTGATGGTGTGTGTGTGTGTGTGTGCGCGTGTTTTTGTGTGTTGGGGGGCTAAGAAGGAGGGAAAACCAGCCAGCCGAGGCCGCCGATTCCAGGACACGCCCCCTCCCTCCTCGGCCTGGGCCTGGGCGTAAAGGTGGCGGCCCGGCACGCGACTCACGCTAGCAGGGCAGCAGGGCGTGCCCTTCATGCACTCAGCGAATGAAGCGCTCCGCTCCACCTCTGGCAAGCGCAGCAACAGGTCGACAAAACGAAGCAAAAGCCGGGTAGATTTGGTAAAATTTATCCCCGGCGACCTCGACGATGGCGGCCTTGCAGGGCGCGACGGCCTTGGCCTGCGGCAGGCGGCTGGGCCCCCGAGGCCGCAGTGGCTGGGCCTGGAGCTTGCCGAGGAAGGCGTCGTCCCGGTGCGGTACTTGAAGCAGGGGTTGCTGCGCCAGGGGCTCCGCCTGGGGGCAGGGGGTTGACGATGGCTTTCATCTTTGCCGCTGTTTTTTTCCTGTGCACAGCGCTTGTGTCTGCCATGCTGCCAGCGCGTGGATCTACAGTGCGGCTGCCGCGCCATGCCTGGGGATGGTGCCTGGTGAAGGACCAGCAGGGCTTGGGGGAGTCAGGCGGTGGCGTCGGAGGCGGCGTCTCCGGAGGTAAGAACATCGGCCAGCTGTGGGCGCCCTTGGCGCCCTTCGGGCCTTGCAGTGTAGGGAACGAAGCCCCGAACGCGGGCGCCGCCGCCGACAGCGAGGGTGTCCAGGGCAGCCGCGGCAAGTTGGCCTGGCTGCAAGTTGGCGCGTTGAGGAAGAGAGTCCCTTGTCGCCGTTGCGTCTAGGGAGTCGAGGGTCACCAGAAGGGCTGCGCCGGCGGCCCGCTCCCGGTGCACGTCGCCGAGGTTGACGACGACGACGAGGACGTGGTGGTGACGCGCGTGCTGGGCGACGAGGCCAGGGCGGAGGACAGCAGCGTGGCCACCTTGTTGGCGTCCCCGCCCACCACGTGGATGCAGACCACCGTCTCGCTCTGGTTGGGCTGCTGCAGCCTTTCCACCGCGGCGGGGGGCTCCACGGCCGCCGTCGAACACGTGGAACCCGGCCTGCTGCCTGATGGCGTTTCATTAGACGGTCATTTGTTTTCGTTTTCAGATTTGTCCTGCTAGAGGGCACAGTGGGCCAGAAGACCGGTGGAGGCGGCCAAAACTCTGGACGCGTTTTGAGCCCCAGAGTCGCTAAATGGGACTCAAACCGAACGTGTGACCCCACCGATGGATTGCTCTCCAAACGAGGAATTCATTGGTGGGGTCATACGTTCGGTTCGAGGCCTGTTTCGCGACTTTGGAGCTCAAAACGCGTCTGGAGTTTTGGCCGCCTGCACCGGTCTTCTGGCCCACTGTGGAGGGCCTAGAGGGGGTCACCGTTCTGGCCGGGCCGCGCGAGCTGCTGCTGCCACTTAGGCTGCGCCAGCCACCGCGCCGACAGCACGTGCACCCGGCGCTTGGGCCGGTGGACCTTGGTGCGGCTGCCTTCCCTGGCCCTGGCAGGGACGAGGGAGGGAAGGCCGTCACAACCGCCGTATTTTGGTTTTGTTTCTTAGTTTATCAAATGAGCTTCTGGATTTGCCTGGTTGGGATTCGCCCCGGAGATGGGGGCTGCGCCGCGGTACACTCGTGGGCCACCTGGCTTCCTTTATGTCTGATGAAAAAAAAATAATAGAGAAAGACAGAACACTTTGTTCATTCTGCAGTAACTTAATTGAGAAACTAAGTACTGTGTACGTGCGTTTGGGGGCTTACATTTTGGGATACTTCTTCCGCAGCTGGGACCTGTTCGGTCTGAGCTCGTACCTTTGCGGGGACGTTTGGATGGAGTCGTCCCAGTGGGGTTTCAGCCTACACATTCAAAGTTTTTTTTTTTTTTTATGAATAAAATTTTTATCAGAGCGCGCCTTGTCTTGCACGTCTTACCAGAAGACCCTGTCCTTGCTCCTCGGGCTGCGGAACTGCCTGGAGCTCCTCTTGGCCGGCTTCCTGGTGGCGCCTGGCCCGAGGCCTGGCCCCTCCCTGTCGTCGTCCTTGCCGTCGGCCTGCTTGTCGTCCTCGGGGAGCGCGGCCAGCAGCGCGTTGATGACGCCCTCCAGCCCCTCCAGCCCCGCGCGACTGCCCTCCTTCCTGGAGCGGAGCGTCTGCGTCAGCTTGTGCAGGATGAGCAGGTCCTCGTGGATCTTGCCGGGCCCACTGCCCTGTGACACAACGCGGGTTCCAACACTACTTTTTTTTTGTTTGTTTTTGGAGTGGGTTAGTGCTTGTGGGTGTTTACTTGTCGCTGTGGCTTCCTGCTCTCCAGGTTGGCGACGTACTGCTTTCGCCGCTGGAAGCAGCTCGCGGTGCCAGGCGTGGCCGTCGGCGTGGCCGTCTTGACGCCGCGCGGGGACGCCTGGCACTTCCCCGGGAGGTTCTCCAGCTTCTCCAGGCGGCGTCGCGGCGCTGGAGGCGGCCGGCGGACGCACCGGTAGCAGGGCAAGTCGGCCTGCACGCCGACGGACGAGGGCGCGCGGGCGGGCGGCGCGTCGGCGGCCAGGTCGTCGTCCACTGCCGCCGGCCGCGGCTCGCCGGCCTTCTGGCGTGCTGGACGGAGATCGGGCAAGGTTAGCAGAGGTGCTGGAGTGGGTGTTGGCGGTGGCGGCACCAACCTGAACTCGCCGTCCCCGCGTCGTCGTCGCTGGCCGGACGGAAGCGGCCCCCACTGGGCTGCACGCCGTCGCCGGAGGCCACTTCGGGCGCGAAACACACGCCGCGGCTCTGCTGACGCGCGGTCCGAGTGCCGCCGCCGTCGTGGACCTCCAGGGTGGCGGGCCTGACCGTCATCTTGGCCGCGTCGTCCGAGAGGTCCCCCTGCGCGCGCAGCAGGCCCATGGCCAGCTTGACGGCGTGCGGGATCGGTGCCTCGCAGCCGCTGTTGGCCAGCGAGTCGCCCGTCGGCAAGGTGGCCTGCTTGGCCCTCTCCAGGGCGTGCGCCCCGGGTACCGGCGCCCCTGTCTCCGCGCAGAGTGGTTCTTGGGGCGGAGTGGCCTCCACTTCAAACCCCACCACTGGGGTGACTCGTGACGTCCACGACTCCGGTATCGCTTCTGGATCACAGGGCGGTTTGGGGGTGACAGTTTCCACTTCCCTTTCCTCAACGGCTTGCACGGGAGAGGCCTCGGGAATCGATTCCTGTTTCGCTTCAGGATCCATTTCCGTTTCGGGGATATCACTGATCCTTGCTTCTTTTCTCTGCGATGCTGCTTCCGCAACATTGTATGGATTTTCTGTAACATTCGCCGGTAGTGTTTTCTGAACGTCGCTTGACCTCTTTGCTCCGGTTTCCTGGAGGACTGGTGACCATTTTGTCACGGTTTCTTGGACGACTGTTGACCTTGGCGTCACGGTTTCCTGGAGGACAGGTGACCTTGGCGTCACGGTTTCTGGGTCGACTGGTGACCTTGGCGTCACGATTTCTGGGACGACTGTTGACCTTGGCGTCACGGTTTCCGGGACGACTGGTGACCTTGGCGTCGTGGTTTCCTGGACGACTGACCTTGGCGTCACTGATTCCTGGACGACCGGTGACCTGGGTGTAACAGTTTCCTGGTCGACCGGTGACCTTGGCGTCACGGTTCCGTGGACGAGTGGTGACCTTGGCGTGACGGGTTCCGACTCGTCACGTGACGAGCGCGTCACGGCCTCCGGCGTGGCGTTGGCGGCTGGTGACCTTGTCGTCACAGCCTCCGTGGGGCGCGGCCTGGGCGTGCTGCGGGGCGTCTCCGAGTCCGAGCTCCGTGCCGACTCCGGCCAATGAGCGCCGTCACGCCACTGCTTGTCGGCCTGGCTGATAAAGGAGCCGTCGCTCGTGCAGACGAGGGTGAGCCGCCGCGGCCCGGGCACCTTGTCGGCCTTGTCCGAGGACTCGGGCACCGACAGGAAGGACTTCCTGGCCGCGGCCTGCTGCCGCCAGCGCTCCAGGGTGGCGTTGGGGCTCTCGCTCGCGTCGATCCAGAACTTGCCCACGAAGGCCGTGTCCCCGGCCACCTCGACGACCTCGCCGCTGGCTCGCCACGGCACGGCGGCGGGCCTCGGCTGGTCCTGGCAGCTGGACAGCGCCAGGTCCACCAGGTCTCGGAACGGGTCGACGGCCGGGCGGGGCGGTGCCGGCGCTGCCTTGGCTGCCCGTTGGCACGGAGCCTCCTCCCTGGCCGAGGCCGCCCTCGGGGGAGGTTCTTCTGCCGCCTCTGTGGCCGGTGCGGTGCTCGCCGCGTCGCAGGCCGCCTCACTGCTTGTTGCGCTGTCCGAGGCCTTCGGTCCCGTCGGCTCTGCCAGGAGGTCTCGGAGGGAGGCCGTGTCCAGGAGGCTCTCCAGGAGAGTGCTGTCCGAGGCCTTCGCTCCCGTCGGCTCTGCCTGGAGGTCTCGGAGGGAGGCCGTGTCCAGGAGGCTCTCCAGGAGAGTGCTGGCCGAGGCCGCGTCCGGCGGCGTCTGCGGGATGTCATCGGCCGAGGATGTGTCTGTAGGCGAGAGGGTGTCCTCGGACCCCATGCAGGACCTCATGTCCTCCAGCGACACGTCCTCCGCCGCCTCCCTGACGGCCTGGTCCGAGGCCGTGAGCGCGGCCATCCCGCCACCCGGCTCCGCTCCGTCCGCGGCGGTGTCCACGACGGGGCGTGGCTGCGGGCCGATGCTGGCGGGTGGGCTGTGATCCACGCGGAGGTGAAAGGGCCAGCGGCCGGCCGGCGTGTCCCGCGCGTCCTGCGGCAGGCTGGTCATGAGCATGAGCAGCTCGTGCAGCAGGCCGTGGTGCGTTGGGCCGTGTGGCGGGGAGCGAGTCCGCGCCGCCGCTAGCGCCGCCCCGCCCTCCTCGAGGGTGTCTAGGTCTATGAGCGGCGGCAGGCTCTGCAGGCCCTGGTCCGCAGGCGGCGCAGCGGCAGCGCTGCTCGTCATGCACCAAAAAAAAAAAAAAAACTGTTAGTTTGGTGTTTTTGTGTAACTGCTTTCCTCCTTTTCTGCAGTGTCGGTTACCCGAGCGCGGGCCGCGTGCGCCGCACGAACGCGAGGGCCGAGTCTACGTTCTGCACCATCTCGACGATCCGGTGCCCCTCCCTGCGGCGGGACGGGATGGGCAAGTTAGCGGTGGCGGTGCCGCACAGTGGGCCGGAAGACTGGCGCAGGCGACCAAAACTCCAGACGCGTTTCGAGCTCCAGAGTCGCAAGATGGGACTAGAAACGAACGTGTGACCCCGCTAATGGATTCCTCGTTCGGAGAGCAATCCATTGGTGGGGTCACACGTTCGGTTTGAGTCTCATTTAGCGACTCTGGAGCTCAAAACGCGTACGGAATTTTGACCGCCTCCACCCGTCTTCTGGCCCACTGTGTGCCGTAACGCCGGACAGGGTGGCGACGGCGACGCACTGGTCCGCGTCCTGGCCGGCGCCCTCGATGTCGACCACGTCGACGCCGCCCAGCAGCAGCCCGAAGGGCACCATGGCGGCGCCACGCCCGCCGCCGCGCCGCCGCGCCGCCCGGGCACTTGCGAAGCCTGCGAAGCAGACGAGTCGTGCGGCAATACTTGGGTGGCGACAAGCGGCAGGCGCTGCCAAGCGGTTTTATCGTTTTCGGGCGGACGCCGTGGACGCCGTCGGCCACCGAGGTTATGTAAGCCACCTCCGCCGCACAGTGGGCCAGAAGACCGGTGGAGGCGGCCGAAACTCTAGACGCGTTTTGAGCTCCAGAGTCGCTAAACAGGACTCGAACCGAACGTGCGACCCCACCAATGGACTGCTCTACGAACGAGGAATCCATTGGTGGGGTTCGAGTCCCGTTTAGCGACTCGAAACGCGTCTAGAGTTTTGACCGCCTCCACCGGTCTTCTGGCCCACTGTGCGCCGCGGCGCGCTTACGGACGGCCCCCAGTTGCATGACTAAACAGCGTCCCTCCCTGTTGACGGGCTGCCCTGGCCGGCCGCCCCCCGGGACTCGCCCCGCCCCTCCCCGCCGGCCGAGCGGCCGCCGTTGGCGTACCTGACGTCTTAGTCATGGCGTCCTGCGTGACGTCATGCATCCTCCCCTCCCCGTGCCGCTGCCCACCCCGTTCATCCCAGCCCCCCTCCCCGCGGCCGCCCTTGCTCTGCCGAGTCTCTGGGCCATAGTCATCATTGCCATGAGCAGCATCCGGGGTGGAGGGAGAGGGCGAAAGTGGCCCGCCGAAGGAGTATGGCCAAGTCGGCGGCCAAGTGCTGCGCAGTGCTGCGTCGCTCCGTCTCTGTCGCTCTCACGGGTCGCGGGCGTCCCGCAGGGGTGCGACAGCGGCAGCCTGCTGGCCCACTGTGTGGCGCGCCTTGCAGCCGCGTTTCATTTGCCGGGGTGCACGGCTGGTGGTTGGTATGCATGATTCATGCCGCGTCCACCGCCGCGTCGCGACCAGAGCCCAGGGGTGCCAACGCGCTGTCAACGGCGCGGCGACGGCGGGCCGCGGAGCCCCAAAGACGCGCCTAGAGCAGCGCCGCAGCGCCGCAGCACGGCACCGCTCAGACAAGATGCGTATTTGTTTGAGGCGGTACGAGACTGGCCAGCGACGCCCGTGACGTCAGTGCGCGTCAGCACGTCGTTCACTGCGTCTGCGGGTGTCTGCTGTACAGGCTCAAGGTCGCGCTGATTGTCAGTTGGAAGTTTGAGCTGCCTGGCACGGAACCCACAGACAAGGCCCCCTTCCCACCCCCAGCACCACCTCCCCACAAAAATTAAAAATCGACTGAAGTTTGGTAAATTTTTGCAGTGACCCCGAGAAAAGGTTCCTCAAGCAAACCGAAGTCCTTTCTTCCTCGTGATTCCGAGACCTTTGCACTGCCCCTGCCGCCCCTGGCCGTCAAAGCCTCGGCATGTGGGCTTGGTTGGTCTGCCCCTGAGGCCCGGTCGGGCAGGCAGTCGGGCCTGAAGAACCGCACACGTCAAGTTTGTTTTGAGGTTGGGCTTAGCTCGGATCGGACTGGTGTACTGCCCTTGCGCAGGACAGCAGGCTGGTTCCGAAGTCGGTCTTCGTCGCTCCGTCTCTCTCGCACCCCCAACACGACGCCCCATGAGAGTGAGAGAGACGGCGATGAGTACCTCGGAGTCAACGGAACACAAGCGTGGAGGTGGCGGGCGGCGATCTGCGTCCGGGACGGCCTACCCGGTGGAGGCCCCCGCCGCCCCGCCCCGCATGGCCCCGCCCGCGCAGCACGCGCCCTAGGCCCTCGCCGTGGTCGCCGTGCCGGCCGGCCGCGGCGCGGTAATGCCGCATGGATTTAAACTTGGACGATTGTTCTCATGGTGACATGGCCAGGCAGACAATGGCTGCCCTGCGCGCTCGCCCCGCTGGCCGCGCGGCGCCGCTCGCCGGGGTGCCCCGCCGCCAGAGCTGCCAACCACCAACCACCCCGCCGCTGAGCCGGCCCGCCCGCCACGCACCGCCCTCTCGACCTCGCACCCCTTTTTATCCGCAGTTGCCAACTGTCTGAAACAAAAAAACCAACAGAAACTCTGTAATAACTATTTGAACTGTATGGTTCTCTGTAAATATTTTTTTTGCTTTTGTTGCGTTGGTATTGGTGCGGATTCCGCATTTAATTGAACGGGAGTAATCGAGTCGAACACGAAGAGTGCCGCGAGACTGGCCCACATCATTAGCCGTAGCGCGCGTCTTCATCCGTCTCACTCTCTCACTGACAATGGTGGGCGTGGGCCAGCCCGAGGGCCAGCCAGCCAGATTTCGCCCGTCCACTCCCGAAAAACTAGCAGAGAAAGAACCGTCTCGCCGAACTGGCTTCGGCTTGAACATATGCTCCTCTCACACGGTTTGCACCCGCTGACCGCCATTATTTTTGGCAGAGTCGGAACGCGCCCAGACGTGTATGACAAGCGTGGGTGGTCTCTGTGCTTATTACCCCTGACGCTCTGTCTCTCTCGTACCTTTACGGCGTTCCCCACGAGTGCGAGAGAGACGGGTAGACACTAATGAGCAAGGCGACGCGGCTCTCCGGCCGACGCGTCCTCGGCGTGTTGCGAGCAGGGCGAGGTCGCAGCGCCTTCCACTTCCACATGCATGCACTGCTTGGCGGGGCGGCGGCACGCCGCGGCACGCGCACGCCTTCTTAATCAGCGTCTTCTTCTTCTGCTCTCTCTCTCTCTCTCTCTCTCTCTCTCTCTCTCTCTCTCTCTCTCTCTCTCTCTCTCTCTCTCTCTCTCTCTCTCTCTCTCTCTCTCCCCCTCCCTTTCTCTCTCCCTCTCTCTCTCCTCCTCGCCCCTGACTCTCCGCCTCCCTTTCATCCTCGTCCTCCGCCTGCCTCGCGGCGCCCCCACCCCCTCCCCGCCCCCGCCTTGCGGCCTGCGCGGCTGCCGCGCTGCTGGTGGGGCCCAGTGGGGCCGTGGCGGGGCCCTGGCCGCGGTCCGCACGCCGCCACCGCGTATTGTAGCCGAGGCCTTATTTAGACAGGAATGCTTGCGAGGCGGCCCCCGGCGGTCCCCGTGCCCCCCAGGCCTGCCCCAGGCCTGCCCCAGGCGCTACCGGGCCGGCGGGGAGGGGCCCGTCCGTCAGCGGGTTCAGGAGGGTCAGTGCCAGTGGCAATGGGCGCGGCGAGGCGCCGCCCTCGGCCGCCCTCGGCCGCCCCCGCCGGGACGCGAACCCGGGAACCCGCCACCCAGCCGCCGCTGTCCACGTGCTGTCTGACGTCGGCGGCCGCGGCCTGCTTGTGCGGGGTGGGCAACGCGTTGCACGCCACGCTAGAGAGGCACTTCTAGAGAGCCATCTCTAGAGAGCCACCTCTAGAGAGCCACTTCTAGAGAGCCACCTCTACCACCTCTAGAGAGCCACCGCTAGAGAGCCACCTCTACCATCTCTAGAGAGCCACCTCTAGAGAACCACGCTCGAGAAACCACTCTATTAGAACTAGAAAGCCACTCTAGCTAGCCAGCCAGCAGCGCCAGACTTGAGTCAGGCAGGAGCCTCAAGGTAGGCCCGCGGCCGGCACTGCACTGTCGGCGTTTCTGCTGCTGATTTGCTGTCGCTTTCATCGAGACGGCGGCTCTCTCTCTCTCTACCACTGTCTCTCTCGTCGGCCCCTTGAGACACCCCCTCCTCCCTCCCTCGCCGCGTATAGGGAAGTGTTGGCCGTGAAGTTGGGCCAAGTGACGGCGGCGCCGCGAGTCGTGCTGTCTCCCTCCCACTCATGGGGCTCCCCGTCGGGGTGCGAGAGAGACTGAAACTCGGAATGAGTGTGCTGGGTGGGGTGGGGGGCGAGCAGCCCGAATCCACGCGCTGAATCGAATCGACTGGTGGCTAGAAAAAGTTTCCCCGTTTCGGCTTTTTCTGTTTCTCGCGCCGAAAGGTGAAGAGACAGGCGCCTCGAGGCGCCCCACAGTGGGCCAGAAGACCGGTGGAGGCGGCCGAAACTCTAGACGCGTTTTGAGCTCCAGAGTCGCTGAATGAGACTAGAACCGAACGTGTTCAGAGAGCAATCCATCGGTGGGGTCACACGTCGGTTCTAGTCTCATCAATCGATTCTGGAGCTCAAAACGCGTCCGGCACTTTGACCGCCCCCACCGGTCTTCTGGCCCACTGTGAGGCGCCTGAGGCTCCCTGGAG